CTGGAACAGGGGGTAGTGAACCAGCATCCGGAAATTGGGGTTCGGTTTCTTGAGATTCGATGTGTATTGGGGATCCGGGTTCGCTCGGATCTGCACGCGCATCAAGGAAAGACTGCTGAACACCTTCCTTGATAACGTTTTCGGGAAAAACAGGCTCACCATGCAAAACAGCATGAGCTAGTGCTTCGGTCGGCGTAGCAATCTTCACATTTTGGTTGGCGACCAACACTGGAACATTTCCACACAACAACCACAAATTCCTTTCACCTTCATGGCCTATCACCCGACTAGTGGGACTCCATGTGGTGCCCCCCTTTTTGATTGTCTCGACGAAAGGTCACTAGATCACCTACTGCATACTCCCGAGGAAGACTGGAAGCATTGCGAGTAAGCGCACGGGACACCCTTGACGAACAATCTAGGTGAACAAATGCTTTCTGAGCTTCCTGCCTGGCCATGTGCTGTAAGGCGAAAATGCTCTCTGGGTTGTGACGGGCTTCAATAGCTCCAAGCTCGGCAAACCGTTCTTCAGACAATGGGCTCGGATCTGATCGGGGTCCTTTTCCAAGTACCCATTGACTAGGCGAAAAACCTCCGACTCTACTAGAGTTGTTCTTAGTAGCTACTACCTCGAGCAGTACCTGCTCAACCTGTTCTCTGCCAACAGTGCCTGTCTCTTTGCAAACCTTCCTAAAGAGTGACTTGACAATGCCTCCATGACGTTCTACACGACCAAGATTCTCCGGGCTTTCCAGAGGGGTGTGGTACACTTGGATTCCATGTTCATCCATGTACTTCTTCATGACACCTCGGTTGTGCAGACCTCTGTCACATGCAATGTTCACAGGATGGCCACACCATGAGAACCAACGCTTCCTCAGTGCTTTCAGACATTCGGCAGAAGACGGTTGACCAGCACCAAAACGAACAACCTCACATAGCTGAAAAGTAGTACCCAAACAAACCATGTTCAACACTTGGAACTTGTCACCTGAAATGTCGTGAACTTCAAACACATCAATTCCTACAGTGTGGTTGAACGAGTAGTTGTTAGGCAATGCTGTCTTGTGCGTGGCCTTCTTCTGGGATGTTGCTTCACAAGTTTCGCATCTGTGGATCCTGACAGCATCGATGAATTCCTTTCGAACCTTTGCTGCACGAAGGAGATGGATCATCGTCTGTTTGGGGACGCGTCCAAATTGCCTATGCAATCTTCTCACACCAATCCTCACACGTGCAGGCAACTTGCGCCACATCCGGCGTCGTTCGACTTCATCTGCTGGCAGGCCTGGGATGTCTACTTCATCGACCAGTGTCTCTTCCGAGATCAGGTCTTCTACTGGGTTCACCTGAGCACGATCATCATCATCCCAGATGGCATCGAACTGCTGTTCATCGTCCATCACCTCTTCCTGCAGTTCACCAACAAATGCAATAGACATCTCATCATCCAAGGTTGTATCATTGGTCCATTCACCTAACCAATCAACAAACTGCCAAGACAAGACATCATTCATGGTCTGCCCTCGAAACCACGATTCGAAAAGCTCAGTCCACTTAGGATCATTGCAGGTGAATGCCAAGTCATGGTCGTTGATATGGGGAATCTGTGGAAACTCATGTTCCTCCCATCTCGGGGTAGTTGCAACGTCAATGTGCAAAAACCGGCTACCACTCATGTCACAATGGGATTCTACTTCACCCAAAATCTTTCCATGTCTCAAAGGATCTGTACTCCGTTCATACTCGATGGCAATGACGATGTTCTTGTAGTCTTGCAAAACATCATACCAAATCTTGGAGTCCTCCTCAGGATTGAGGTGCTCAGCTCCCACACCGACGTCAAAAACGTCTGCAACACCATCTGCTGCTTGAAGCTCCTGAAAGAGGCGGGGATGCGAAGTAATGACCAAGGTTGGAGGCTCTGAAACTGGGACGTCCTTCACACCAATGCTGGATTTGACCAATGCATCTTGATGGTTCAATCGGTCAATGCCCTCCAAGACTGCCCTCCTATGCTTCTTACCCATGGTGGTTCTCTCATTGGGGTCAATTTGCAATGGAATGGACAAGACTCCTGAACTACTTGGCTGTGCATTGGGATCTGGAGGGACTTCCGAATCGGTTTCATTGCTATCATCCAAATTGATCTCAACCTGTTCTCTCCTATCGAGGTCCCATGCCATGTGTGCTACTGGCTCGTAACTTGCG